ATCGCCGAATGAGGGAGCGTGTTTAAGATTTGTGGTGTACCGGAGTCACCAAATCAGGAGGGGCGGCGTGACGAAGATTTATGATGAACCGCAATCACCACATGAGGGTGTTTGTGATGAATCGGAGTCGCCAAATGAGGGGGTCTGTGTAACATGGGATTTGTCAAGTGCTTGCGAAGACGTACAGTCTGGTTACTTGTTAGGATCATGCCAACTTTGTCTCACCTGCAGCTACGATCACTCAAAGCTCACCTTTGGTGAAACTCAGGAAAAGGCCCGCCGGTGCTTAGGGTAGTGCCCGCGTTTCCTCTTACCTGCGTGATTGATTTACGGGATGAAACTCTGTTTCGATCTCTGCCTTGCAAGCCTAGCTCGCCTAGCTCGCCTAGCTCGCTTGGTGTACGATCGTTTGCACCTGTGCTTTGTGACCGAGAGCTAAGTGGATTCCTCTGCTCTTCACAGGTTATCAGCCGTAGGTAGGACCTCTTGCAACGATTGTGCATCTCTGCTTGCTGCTGCCGCTTTTGCACTCGGGTCGTTTATCCGACAAGTGACTAAGGTGCCGCCGATATCCTGGCGCCCCTTGCCCCGTTCGGAACTGTACCTAGTTACGCCACTGAGAGACGATGACTCCGATCGGCTCCCCACGTGTTCCCTCGACCGTTGGTTCTTCACTAGTGACACCGGTTGCTCGGGAAACTGTGGAGTCCGATAATAGTGCTCCTGCAGCCCGCCTCGCCAGGCATGCCATGCCTGCTGCCTTGCCGCCGCATGCCACGCCTGCCGAGGTCGATCAGAGTGCCTTGCCGCAAGTGCCGCCTTTGCCTTGCGATGCAACCATGACAGGCAACGCCCACGCTACTGCCTTTTCTGCCGAGCGTGTTTTGCCTGCATTGCCGTGCTTTTCTGCGACTGCTGCCTCTGCCGCTGCTTCGCGATTCACACCCAACACGACCGACATCTACCAATCTTGCCCTCTTTCCCTTCGGGGAAATGTGGAGGGCGCCCGGACTCTCTTTGAGTCCGGGCAGGGTAACCGGGATCAGTTGATTACGCTCCCGGTACCTTCTCCTGCCCCTGGCGGTTCCATACCAGGGCTCGATATGTCAGATGAGACTGCACGGAAGATCGCCAACGATATTGGTGCGATTGTGCAAAGTATCGATGAAACCCGATCCGATCTTGACATCTTGAGGAACGGGGTTTTTGACGTTGCTGCTGAGTTCGATAACAAGATCGATCAACTCTGTGCTCGATTTCACGCAGAGCTTGATCGGTTGAACCAAGAGTATTATCGAACTTACGATAGATTTCAGGATAGGAACGCTGCAGATCAGGAAGCTCTTCACGATCGATTTGAACAGTTGAAGAGCATCTTGAATGATAAGATTCGTGAGTTTGATGAGCGGATCTTTAACCTCAATGAGAGTAGAGCCGATTTCATATCTCTCAAACTGCAGCGAACGATAAGTGAGATTCATCGATACCCTGAGAGTCTCCAACAGCTGCAGATTGGTGTATCCAACTGCGAAGCACGCATAGGTGCCGTTGAGCAGAATGCTACTAATCGGATTGAAGCAATAAGAGTTGAAATGAGTCGTTCTCTTCACGATCACCAGAAGAGAAACGAAGCATATGTTGAGAGCTTATCCGCTAGGATTCAGTATCTCGAGGGACTCATGCGAGTTCCCTACGCTGGAGAGCCCATGCGCGATGATCTTCGCCGGGACTCTCGATCGCACCGATCTGAGCGATCAACCCCGTCACGCACTGAAGGAGTGCAATTCTATGATTCTATGACATCAGTGACGGTGATAGGGAGGTTCCTAGGCCTGATACGCTTCCTCCGCACCCAATTGGATCATTCTTTCCGGAGTCCGCTTCCAGGATCCCTCGATCCTCGCTGTTAGGCCCTATCGATCATGGTACTCCTCCCGGATGTCACGCTGCACCAGTCGACCGTTCGATCTCAAACGAACAGTACTGCGAACGATGAAGTCTTCAAGAGATCAAGGATTATCGATGACGACTTCAGTCAGAAGTTTCAGATTCACGAGCCCGAAAGACTGCCTGAGCCGCGATTCATGCGACGAGCCGACGAATTTAGGGGCACGTCTTCTGGCGGAATCCGAGATTCCAACATTCCTGTCTTCCATGCTCCCGCTCAGGCTTCAGCTTCTAGATCGACCCCCTGTCCCACTGCTAATCCCATTGATGAAAAGATCCCAGTAAATGAGCACAAAGCTCAAGCCTGCATGCTGCAGCGTGAACCTGGACAGGGTGGTGTTTCATCCGTCGCTGCTCATGAAGCTGTTCACAAGACCGTGTGCACATTCGCACCTCCAAGACGGGAAGTACCGACATTCCCTTGCCAGATCTCCTACGATACGAGGACTGTGCCAAGTGGAGTAGGTCCAACTCGATGGTATGATGCCATGCTTGGTCGAACCGGCTTTATTCAAGGAGCAGGACCTGTGCCTACTGTCGAGAGCACCACAGCGACATTTACTATCGCACCTAACGCACCAACATCCGCACCGCTTAGTTTCCGACCGTTGCAGACTGTCGCATCCGATCACCTTCATGACAGTGTGCGAACGTCCGTTCCCGTTGAAAATTTGGCGCCTTCCGGCTTACCTGAAGGAAACGATGGTCGTGATCAGAGCAATCATGGAGCCTCCAACGGAGGTAATCAGGGCGGTGATGGAGGAGCCTACGGTGGAGGCGGATTTGGACGTATGCCAAGTGGTGGCGGACCGCCAGGTGGCGATCCCCCCCACGGTGGTGGTGGCCCCGGTGGTGGAGGTGGTGGGCCCGATGGTGGTGGTCCCCCTCCTCCTCCTTCCAATGACGGAGGGCTTGATCCGCCATCGATGCGTCCAACGGGTCGTCCCGACACTTTTCAGTGCGAGAGATGTTGCGGTAGTTTTCCGACGCCTCTTAAACGGAACTGTGTTGCATGCAAGTTTGCATGCTGCGATGTTTGTTGTCGCGATCCGATGCGCATCTGTCGTGTCTGTCTCGAGCGCGCTACTGGCAATACGCCTGTGCCCAACGATTCGGGAAGTGGCGGCCCAAAGGGTGATGGTGATGCTCGAAAGGCCAAGTGCAAGTCATTCAAACTTGAGCCGGAGCCGGAGCCGGAGCCTGCGCAACTTCGCCGATGGATCGTTGAGATGAAGGAGCGTGTTGCTAATGCATTTGCATACGATCCTGGATACGCTCTTGCTTGGGTCGAAATCCAGGATGGCACTAGATACGAAGACTTAACTGATGAATGCAAGTACGGAATGCTTGAGCACGAGTGTAACTCTGCCTTCCGGGAATGCATCAAGTCAATTGCGCTCAAGAACAAGATTCAGACCGAAACCGAGCGAATGCACACGATTGGCGACGGCTGGGAAGTAGGCAGATCCTGTGGCTACTGTATGATTTTCTTAGGCCGCATGTTACGGGTGATTCGACATTCAAGATCATCGATCTCGTCAAGGTTGCAATCGATCGATTTAGATACGGGGTCGAAGAAGAGAGGCTCGAAGCATTCTGTGACAAGCGGGATCATGTCCTCGCTGGGATTTCAGTCGATAGACCTGAAGATGGAATGCTATGTGCACTGTTCTACGAACAGGTGCGTCAGTTGTATTGTCTCAAGCTTGACATGCAGCTGTGGGATCGTGACGCATCTGTGCGCAACTACGCATACCTTCGAAACATTTGCGCCAATGCGATCACCACGTGGAGACGAAGAAAGAACCAAGAGAAGATGTACTCTGCAACCAGATCCACATCCGCTCGACGCCATGAGGCTGCCCCTGCGCATGGAAGTCCCCGACGATCGGGGTCTCGACAGGGGAGACGATCTTTCAGCGCTGGTAGGCATGGATCTCGCCGCGGAAGCCCACATCGGAAGTCCCCACGGAGAGATTCCCCGAGACGATCGTCGCCTAGAAGAGGATGCAAATGCTCACAGAGCATACCTG